TTTCTTAAATGACTTAATCACTTCTTACTTTTTCCCACGAATTCTTCACCCATATACAGACCTGAGCAAGCGTCGGTCTCTTCCTTTGTCCTATATGGATCGTATAAAAATCTTCCTGCTGCATCCAGTTGTTCCATTCCTCTCTCATTAAAGTCTTAAAGGGTTTGTTAATAGAAACATCGAGAGGTTGCAGTTGACTTGTTAAACCGTCGGGTATAACAGCCAGCTGCGTTTTTAGCTCATTAGCTTTTTCCTTTATTTTTTTCCATTTTATGAGCTCTAAAGGAATCCCAGACGAGGAGAGAAGGCTTTTTAATAAGCTTCTTGGACGTTTCGATCAAATCTTTTCAAACCAAAATAGTGTTTCGTCTTCATCCATCCATCCTTTTTCAGGTACGTGAACGTAGACTAGACACCACTGGGTAAATTTTCTTTGTTTTTCTTTTAAAAATTAACATTGGTGGTAATTTTATTCCATCTGCACAACATGCTAGCACCACTGTATAATGCATTTTTTCATGTCCAGTAGTCTTATTCTTATTCTGCTCCACATTAAACAGGGATCGTTGTGTATTTACAAGCTATTTCACTCTCATCCATTACTATAATTTATTTTTTTATTATTTAGGGAGAAAAAATGAAAAAAAACTACTATTGCTATAAATAACACATTCAATTGAACTAAACTATGCATGCCTATTTAAATATATTTACACATGACTTGTGTATATCACATATATATATATATTATTCATACTTTCGGTGTATAGGACACAAGCAGATTTTGACATCAAATTTTGGGGTAAAAAAGTGTGTCTTATACACCAAAAAATATGGTATTACAAGTTAATAAATTTTCCTAGTACAAAATGTAACAATGAATCACTACAACTGAAACAATGTTAACATTCAAAACAAATTAGTCTAATTTACATGAAATTTGATATTTTTAAAGTTTTAAACACATATTTTAGCAACTATAATTGACTAACATTGTCAATTAAACCTTACATTTTAAGAACATGTATTAGAGATGTAGTAAAGAGAAGGTCATGATCTGTTTTAAACTGCATTTAGTCTAAACCAGGGGTAGGCAACTCATGAGTGGCTCTTTAAGGACATTTTCGAGGCTCTCGGGCTTTACTCTTACTACGAAGAAAAGTTGAGAATCTTTCAGGCATAAAGGGTGTTAAAAATTTAATCTAAACATTTGCAATCTTATATTTAAAATAAAGTTGTGCTGTTATCATTCTAGTTAACTACTGAAATTCCTTAGAAGGCTTAGCTGGAAAAAAAAAAACACAGAGGGGATTCGAATCCCTGATTTTAGCACTGTAAATCAGAAGAATTACTGGGAAACCATTTTAGATTAGACTGTGAGGGCATATTGCAGCTCTCAAATGTTTTGGACAAAGACAAAAAAAAGGCTCTTCTTCTTTGAAGGGTTGCTGAACCCTGGTATAAACCATCAAAAATACAAATATTTTTAACTCTTGACAATGAAAAATTTAGTGTCCACTCTTCAGTGCATATGCAATGTTGTAATAGCTTGCAGGTTGAATACAATCAGTAAAGATTAAACACACACAGTTTTTGCTGCAATAAATAATGTTTTTAAAATAATATATATTTTCTTAAATTATAATTATTTAAGAATATTAAAGTACACGTATCTACTTTAATTTAACTGCACTGAGTTTAAGTAGCAATACATTTTCCTCTGTGGATGTTTCTTTAGTTATTACAGATACACTCATGAAGAAAACATTAGAATGACTACTACATGTGTATATGTAAACTCACATTAGTCTTGGAAGTCTATCCTTTTTTGCTGAACAATAAGAAAATCGAAAATGCATATTTTTTCATGCATAATGTTCTTGTATTTTGATAATAATTTCACAAAAATCATAATTTATTTTACTTATAAATTTTAAATTCAATCATTCAGATTGGCATATTGGTTTAGATCTAATGTCACTAAAGAAAAAAGTGCAAACTGGTAGAAAAATAAAACAACGTTTTAAAAGAATTTGTTTAGTCATTAGACGTGAAATATTTTAAAATGGTTAATGAGATCCCAATGAAGCATTGCGAAGAATAAAGTAGTCCTAACACCAGCTTATCCTGTTTGCACATAATCAGTTGTCATATTTCTGTGGCTTGTTGATTCAGTCAGAAGTCAATGTTTTTAGTTATGAACACTTTTTAACTGATATTACATAAAAGCAAAATCAACCCATCTTTAACAATACCATTAAAGACAATATATTGTTAAAAACAGTTACATAAAACTTTATAAATCAATTTAACATAGCATACAGATAACAAGGGACCATTTGGTTCTTCAGGGCTGTCCCTTCAATACAGTCTTGAGGAAAACTAAAAACTTAACCTCACCCTTTACTTTTCAGGAAATCACTGATTTCCCTTTTACACTCCTGTAAAGTGCTGGCCACCACTACTGCTGATGACAATTCATGTCATAAGCCAATCAACTTGCTAGAAAAATGCTTTTTTAACTGAAGCCTAAACTTGTGTCCTCTTATCCAGTTGTCTTCAGAGCACAGCACAAAGAAATCAAAGACATTTATACTATGGATATCCTAGATAATATTGTAAACTTTAATCATATCACCTCTTACCCTTCTTTTCTCAAGATAACCAAAAAGTAACCCTTTCACCTTAGGATCACCATAGCTGCCCTCCACTGAACCCTTTAAAATAAGTCAACATCCTTTCTTCGAAGAGGAGACCAAAACTATTATAAACACTCAACTAAAGGCTTTTCAACAATCATCCACAAATATTTTTCTTTTCACCCAACCCTCATAAATCTTTCTCACAAGAAGCAAGTCCCTTCCAAATTTCCATAATCCAATTGCTTAATCTTTTTTTATTTTGAAACTTATATTACACTTTCTGGTATAGACACTTTAATTGTCAAGGCCAATTTAAATAGCTGCCCTTAATTTTTTTATGTATTTAAACTGTATAGAATTTTCTTGTATTCCATTTGCTCTGGTTCAGTCACATCTGTAAACTTTGGAAGAAAAATTATTTATATGTGTGTAAATCAAACATTTGCTTTGTTAAGAGGCACCTTATTTTTTTGGCCTTTTCAAAGCTTGACATTTTTTAAACTAAAATGCTAAAAAACAATAAATATGATTACTATGAAATGTTTTTTCTGTAATACAAAATACTACCAAAAGATCACTATTTCTGAAAAACAAGAATAATAAACACCACATTAAGAGGTACTTACAATTAGCTCAACATCTTCTTTCTTGATAGTAACTTTGGCCAGTTCTTTTTGTTTTGCTGCCTTTTCTGCAGTTTCTCTAGAGTGTTTGTCACCTATAAGTGACATAGCCTAAAACAGAATAATAAAATGGACATTGTGTTAAAAACCTTCTTCAGAACTAACATTTTGTAAAATTTACGAACATAATGAAATACAAGTAGGCTATTCAACATTTAGTCAGTGTTAAACAGGTTAAGCAAAAATACTTCATGGAATTTTTTTAACACATCTATATAAATATAATAGTACTGTCTGTTGTATGTCTCTGTAACTACTTCGTACAGTGTGAATGGATCTTCACTCAAACTGGTATGGAGGTTCATTAGGACCATGTGAAGGGTACATACACATTTTAGTTTTGCATCTTGTGGTTTTATGGCTGTTTTGGCATTTTTTATCACTACTTTGCCCCCTGTAGATGGATCTTACCAAATTTGATACGGAGGTTCATTAGATACATGGGGAGATATATATAAATTTTCAGTTTTGCATTTTGCAGTTTTTTTATGGAAGTTTTTGCATCTTTTAACAATACCTCGCATTCACCCCCCAGTGCCACAACTGTATATTTGCAGACTTACAATGATAGAAACTGTGTTTCCATACCCGTGGTGGGCAGAGCACAAATAGCCCATTGTGTAGCTTTGTGCTTAACTTCAAACAAACAAAAACCTCACCTCCTGTGGATGGGTCTTCAGCAAATTTGGTACAGAGGTTCAGTGGATCCAAGAGGAGATACATATAAATTTTCAGTTTTGCATTTTTATAGGCCTTTTTTACCACTACTTTGCACCCAATAGATGGATCTTCACCAACTTTGATACGGAGTTTCATTGGGAGATACATACATATGTTCAATTTTGCATTTTGTGGTTATTATGGGGATTTTTGCATTTTTTTACCACTACTTTGGCCACTGTTGATGAATCTTCACCAAATTTTGCACGAAGGTTTGTTGAGTCCATGCAAACTTGCAATTTCACATTTTGTGTTTTGCAGTTTTGTGGGCATTTTTTACAATTACAAAAAAGGGAAACAACTTTTCATGTCCTAACCCTTCATTAATCATGAATTTACATAACTTCTGTTCAGGGGATGGATACTCCAGCTAGTTACATATTACCATTAAGAAAATGGATTGATGCAACCATTAAACCTAGGTGAGTTCCCTTCAGAAAGTGACCATCCAACAGCAGGAGTTCTATGGGGCCACACATATGGGAGAAATACTCTTTGCCTGGAAGGAAACAGAGGGAAAGGCAAAAGAACCCCAAGTGTCACGGAGATGGGCAGAATTTTTGTATGTCCAACCAAGTACCCGTACACAAATGGTTGGCAAGCCAAGAAGTGTAGTGTGGTTAGGGTGCAATCAGATCATACTGTGTGCATCTCTAACCTTGACTCAATCGCACAAACAGAAACAGGGGGTGATAAACCTGTCCTGCTGCAGGAGGAGGGCACACTAGTTGTATGAACAGAACAGAACAGAATGGGGAGGTTGAGAAAAATGAGAAACTACAGTAGACAATGAGAATTGATGCCAGGCTGCCTCAGCCCAGGTCTCCAGTGAGTCAGGAACATCCCCAAAGACCTCTGGGTGAATAATGAAGAAATAGAGCCCAATGAAGATCATGGAAATAAGTGTTAGGGATGTGTATATCAGCTATGAGAGCATTCTGTTCCAGCAAGTTCCAATAGCAGAGGAACCAAGTAAAGAGGGATAGAGCAGAAGAAGTATATGCCAATGTTGTGAAAAGATGAGGATGGACCTATCCTGAAAACCCCTATGAAGCACAATGAAGTGACTCAGACATAAGGTGAAGTGACGAGAAGTAATGCAGGAGGATGGTAAGAAAGACAAAGGTGCAAAAACAAGGCACTACCAAGGGAAATAGATGTTAAAGGGTCCATCCCACCCCCCCAACTCAGGAAATTCCAAAGACTGGTGTACATTACTAATTGCTTTTGATAATGTGCCCTATAATAAATAAAATTTTTACTTTTCTCAAGACTGACTTTGAAAGGAGAGCCTTGAAGAACCAAAGTCCCTACTTGTCGATATGTTAAAAGATACACAAAAGCCTAATTTGAGCTGTAAACAAAAGTTAGAAAGAAGCTTTGCTTTTAAGTTGCTTGATAAAAAGTGACCAGTTTTGTAGGAAATCCCATTGTGTTCATGGTTACATACAGTTAATTAAATGGAATATGGTTTTGTAAATGTTGGTAGCTTTACAGCTTAAATAATTTAAGCTTATTTTAAATAATTCTCATTAGCTTTATATGTATGTTACGTACTTATTTTATGTGAGTTTATATCCAAATTAATTTACTTATTTTATACATTCCCCACCTCAGTTTGACATCTAGTCTCAACATTTCATTACAAAGACGTATGATTTTACACAAAAAAATGTATTTTACATTCATTTGTTATTATTGTTTTTCATTTGCAGCAAAAAGTTACTGCACATTCCACAATGTCCAATAAATTAAATATACTAGTATTACTTCGCACATTCGTCATTAGCGTGGTTGTGTTGTTCATCATCGAACGTTTGAAATTGGAGTTACAAACAGTGTTTTCCGTCTCATCAGTCATCATGTATCTATCACGGCACCAATAACTTATTCTCAGCAGGAATACTCACACCAATAATATCTTGCGAAGAAATCTCTTTTTCTTCAGCATAATCTGTAACCTTCTCAAGATCAGCAGCTCCACTGTCATGTTTTGCAGTTTTCTTCGCAGGTTTTTGTTCTTGTTCAGTCTGGTCCTGTTCATGTTGATCCATGTCGGAAGCCATTTTGAAGCGGTACAATAAAAACCTGAATATTGCTTGCAAAATACAAATAAAATAACGAACATCGTCAATCAATAAAAATGAGCTATAAAAGCATATATAATATACCATAAATTTATATTATACATAAATATATAGTTAAAACTTGTCAAAGGTTCAATGTTATCTGCTATTATTGAAATTAAATTTCCGCTTAAGAATTATACTCATAACCATAGAATTTTTAATATATATATAACACATGGCATTTAAATCACATGTAGGACTGAAAAACTATTTAAAAATACAATTTTGTGTACGTATATTACCTCCCGATAGCTCAACGTAAATTTGTTTGACTTTTGTTTTAAAACAAAGCCACATTGGACTATATGCTATGTCCACCGCAGGGAACCGAATCCCGGATTTTAGCTTTGTAAATCTATAGATTTACCGTTGTCTCATTGGGGGACCTCAGGCGTAAGACCCATGGCTTTTAATTCCAAAAGTCGGATTTCACTACCTGCTTAATAACAACAACGTCTACATATATTAAAACATAAGTAATTCCTGAATGATTTATTGCAATCATATAGCATACATTTCTCCGATAAATCATGAAGCATTAACTTCTCAATACACTTAAGTAATTTGAAAACATTAACACAAATTTTATTTTGAAAGCCCAATTCATATAACATAACATAATGTTTAAGGACAACAAGGTACCTATTGGTTCATCTCAGCTGTCTCATCATTTAAACTAAACTAAAAATATTAAATAAATAAATTTAAAATGATCTTAAAGCAAGTCCTGATCATTCATATAGTTATCAAGCTTTCCTTTATATTCAGTAAAATGTACTGCCTCCACAACATCCGAAGGCAACCCATTCCAAAGGTCAACTACCCTGTTAGAAAACTGTCTTTGCTTAAGATGACTCCTACCCTGCCAAAATGTATTTTTGTGTGCTCTAGTTTTATTATTTTCGCCGTTAAGTATGAAAAAATGTGTTGCATCATCACTATCAATTCCCTTTACAATTTTAAACACTTCAATTAAATCTTCTCTAACTCTTCTTTTTTTCAAGAGAAAATAATTTCAGAGATCTTAATCTCTTCTCATATGACAACCCCTCCATCCCAAGCGCCATTCTAGTAACCCTCCTCTGAACTCTTTTCAACAATTCAATGTCCTTCTTGATGTAAGGAGCCCAAGACTGAACACAATACTCCAAATTTGCCCTAACCAGTGACTTGTACAATGAAATTATAATCTCTTTAGACTTGTATTCAATATTCCTGTAGATAAAACCGAAAATCCTATTTGACTTACCACTAGCAACAGCACATTGATCAATCATTACACCTAGATTCCTTTCTTTCATGAAATTGTTAAGAGTATTCCCATCCAAATTATAATTATAATTCAAATTATGATAACCCTTATGCATCATGTAGCATTTATTATAATAAA